AGGGGGGCATCCATTGTAGTCGTGTCCTTCAGTGCGGTGATATGGCTCGCCGTCCCTTTTGAATCATTTGCATGTTTGCAGTCTCAGTCCTGCCATCTCCGAACCACGTTTGATTAGCGCCTTTCACTCCACGTGACCTGTTCTTGCTACTGTCCCTCCTGATTCCTCGTTGAGGTTCTCAGATCCTTCCGAGGGGATCCTTTAAATCCAACTGAACCAGAAGAGGACCAAGATGTGGTATCTCCAAAAGAATCTCTTATGGTAATTATATCAAGATACAGAGAATTGGCAGTTGAGATTGACGCACTCTTTGCTTTGCACCTGGTCTTTTCGTCTCTGTGTATACACACACACACTCAATGTGCCTCAGTGTCATATACAGATGGATTTGGTCTGTTTCTTTGTGCTTTTCTTTGCTCTCTCTCTCTCTCTCTCTCTCTCTCTCTCTCTCTCTCTCTCTCTCTCTCTCCCCGTTTTTTGGTTTTGTTTCTATCTGGTCGTCTGCTCGCCATGCAATCTTCCTTTCACCCTTTGTTTTTCTTGTTGCATTTCTTTCCCTCCTTATCTCTCCTCTTCCTTCCTTTCTTTTGATGTCCGTATCCTTCTCTCTCCTCTTCCTGCCTTTCTTTTTTCTTGCTCCCTCCCCCCCCCCCCCCCCCCCCCCCCCCCCCCCCCCCCCCCCCCCCCCCCCCCCCCCCCCCCCCAGTCTGTGTATATCTTTCTCTCTTTTTTTCTTTCTCTCTCTCTCTCCCCCCCCCCCTCTCTCTCTCTCTCCCACACACACACACACACACACACACACACACACACACACACACACACACACACACACACACACACAATCCTGATGAGTTGGTGAAAGGAAACAGACTGGCTCAGTCATGCTTTTCTATTGACTTGGGCATAGGGAACATTCAAACACACAAACACACATAGGCACGCACACAGGCCAGAATATCCAGCGGGTGCTGACATTGCAGGTCAGATTTGCAGGCCAAGGGGCAGGAAAGGCTGGGAGCAGGGAAGCAGCAGAGGAGATGCCTCTGGAGTTCTGGAAACCTGTCCTTCGTCCTGGCATGTCTCTGCTGCATTTGTTCATTTGGAATTAAACAGTGTTAATTTGTTAAACCACCAGTACACGCGGGGCTGCTTCAGCGAACCGACACGCCCGCTGCGTGCCAAAATTTGCCGATCTTTTTGTTTTGCCTGGCGGCGGCAGCAGCCATTCCGGTCCGCGAAAAGCCCCGAACTTTTTGCTGGTGGGGACTCGTTCGTTTTCTGCAAGGCTGGGGCCGTGTACTGGTGGTTTGAAGAGCATTGATTTCCCTCCTTTTCTTCTTGTCCCCAAAGGGCGAGGGTCATTTTCTGAGGACCCTTGTTGTTTTCTCTCTCCCTTTTTCTTGTCCCAAAGTCGAGAGGTCGTTTTCTGAGTCCCAGAACAAGCAGGGAAAACTGATGGCAGCACAGATGCATCCAATGGTGTTCCGAGGATTAAAAATGCAGCAGAGACATGCCAGGACGCAGGACAGCAGTGTCGTATGTCGTCACCTGGTATGGGGACGGCCCGTCCGTACTCCCGTACGACCGTACATATGGGGGCCCTCAGTGCCTTGGCTCGATGGTGTTCCGAGGATTAAAAAGGGAAAAGTTATAAGTTCCTCCCCCCCCCCTCCTCCCTCCTCTATTCAGGGTTGCAAAACCTTTGTATTTGTTTGCCCCCAAAGGGGGAAAAAGTGTGGGAGGCCCTAAAACTAACGTACAGGTCATTTGTGGCCATTTTTTCTCCCACCGAATATGTTAGCAAATACGCTGGAGGTCTGGCGCAGACCTTTTGACGCAGCATAGTACGCGGAAAAGGTGGTGCTACCGTCTCCCCCGAACACAATGCACCCTGAACATGAATGTCTACAAGCCAATATTTCTCGTCAGGTGCAGCCAAAATGAGGGGTGCGTTGTCTTCGGGGGGCGGAGGTGGTGGTCCCCATCTGTACATATTGACAGATCTCAGAACGTTGCCACATCGTTCAACTTGCATGAGGACCCTTTGGGCGTCACTGCGCCACTCGCCAAGGTCAATATTTTGACTGTATCTGGACCTGCTGGCTGTCCAGGATACATTCAAAATGCTGGCGGATGGCAAGTCTGCGGCGATCCCCCTTGTCCCTGTCCGCTCCAATCATAATAGGCACCTTCCCTTTTGGCGATGGAAGTGGAGATGGAGGCGGTGGCCCCCCATCAGGGGAGCTCAGCTGGGCATTCGTCCCATCCGTAAGCGCGTTCAAAGCATCCTTGATAGCTGTCATGCTGTCCTTCAGCCTCGCAAACTCGCCCGCATGAGCGGAGTGGGGGTTGGCAGGGTGGCCAACCTCTTTTTTTTTTTTTTTTTTTTTTTTTTGGTTCAACCTATTGCTGACCTCAGCAGTTGACTTGCCATTGACCCCTTTTGACTCGGCGATCAGCGACTTCCGTTTCTGCTCCCTTTTTTTTTTTTTATAGAAAACTTCATATGCGGGAATACCCACTTAACGAGGTGATAAGAGCAGCCCCGTTAAGCGGGTCCCGACGTTGAAGGCTCCATCTATTGGTGGGGAGGTTGTCCAGCCCTCAATCCCCAACTAGGATCACATGTTGATTGTCCCCAGGACGGGTGGTAGGTTGTTTAGCGTTTCGTGCTTTGCAGCGTTTGTCTGTTGTGCTGATTGTTTTACATTGGTCTTTGCTTGCATGGGGAGGAGGTCAATCCTTCCCGTATTTTGGGAAGTAATCAATGCCTTCTGCTCCAAAGAGAGATATACATATGTTACGAACACCTTCACACAATACTGAGTGTATAAGGGATGCTGGACCCGCTTTCCAGTGGACACATGCTCCTCCTCCTCCTCCTCCTCTGGCAGTGCCTGCCTCTTCCACAGTGCGGCAATCTTGTCCTTCCTGCTCTTCACTATCTGTTGGAGCTCTTCTTAACAAGCGTCTTCTACTTCTTCCTTTTTTTTTTTTTTTTGGGTGGGTGG